CCCCCCCCGGCTGCCGGGAGAGTGAAGAGATTTTAAAAGCAATTGAATTCTCCCACCTAAAACTAATGTAACGGCGGCGAATTAGATCGTTTACGGGGAGTTTGCAGACTCTTTTCGTCGCTCTTTTCCTCCCTCTCTCTCTCTCTCTCTCTTTACTGTTTTTCAAAACACGAGAGGCCTGTCAACGCTAAGTAAACATCCTTCTGTATTTCAACACTTGCTTTTAACGTTAAACGAGGCTTCTTCTGTCTTTCAACGCTAAGTGAATCTCTTTTTCTGTCTTTTAACATTTTCTTCCAGTGCTAAATTAATTCTTTCTTCTCTTTCAACACTAGACGCATCTTTTTCTGTCTTCCCACGCTAGGTGAATTTTTTCTGTCTCTCAACATATTCACTCAATGCTAGATTAATTTTTTCTGTCCTTCAATGTTTGCTTTCAACGTTAGGTGAGCCCTTTCCGGCTTTAACCGCTTTCTTTCAATGCTAGTCGAACTTTTTTAACACTTTCCTTCAACGCAAGGTGAACTCTCTTCTGTCCGCTTGCTTTCACCACTAGATGAGATATTTCTTTGTTCTCATGCATTACAATAATGAAAATGCGTCTGCGATTTCCACGTGCACATTTTCAATAGACCGCGCAGCAAATGTCGAAATTCGGTAACAAATCCTCCGGCCAATATTAATCACTCGATATTCTCGAAATTTCTATATCAGCCGCCGCGAAAACTCGACGCTAATCATTGATTATCGAGATACTGTCGCGCTGTTTCTCGAATTTGTTGTCCGGCTAAAAGCGACTGGATTAGCCGCGGAGTCCACGCTAATACGCAGAAAAATATGCAGTAATTTTTGCACTCGACATTCTATGTATCGTGGATACGTCGTCGTTGCACTTGACACACGGCTTGCGGCTTTGCGGCTTTCATCACCGCATTTTATCAATCGTCCGGCGCGCTTCATTCGAGACTTAACTTCGTCCCGTTATTCCATCTGTAGGCGCTTCCTTCCGCAAACGGTGTAATCGTACCTCGGAGCGGCGGACCATGCGGATACCCGGTTTCCTGCAGGAAATCCTGAAAATAACCGACCGGCCCAGTTATTTCGAGTATTAGCCGGAGCACCGCACCAGCGGCGCAAATTTGATCCGGATGGCCGGCTAATATCTATTGATGTGCCTTTTTTTCTCGATATTTCTGCTCGCACAGGCGCTCGTAAAATCGCAGGTCTCTCCCCGTACCTTTTATCTGTATTGTGTATGTCCGTGAGAATCGTGTGTATCGAAAACACACCCGAAATTAGATATGCCGGACTGTGTGTGTCGTGTGGCAGGGCGTCCGAAAAACAAGGCGCGTGTGCGCAATCGCGCTACAAAAATAAATATCGTAGGAAAATGGATTGCTAAAAAACATCAGTCGAACCCTCCGAAATAACGCGGCGGATCTTGACAATTCCGCAACTCCCGCGTGCCCGCGCGGTCGTTGTCGTTCACCCTGCTGGATCTCCGGATTTTTCGCTTTGATTTTTCTGTGTTCCTTCCCCCTTCCCCCTCTTTCCCCACCCTCTCCCCGTTCTATCGATTTCGCACCACGTGTCTTTATCAATTCTTCTGTCGGGGCGGCAACAGAGCGAATTTATCAACGTATCGCGTGGCGATCCCGTCGATCTCCCGAAACATTTAGCGCTTCGGTGCTCGACTCTCCGATACATAAAGCACTACATCATCCCCATATCTCAAAGCTTAATCCCCCCGCCGCCCTCCCCCCTTCCCGCCCACCCCAACTCTCCCCACCCTATCAGTTTGCAGCGGAGTGGCGTGTGCTCGGCCGAAAGGAGATCGTCGTGTCGATCGTATCGATCTTCGATCCTCGTAACGTAACTCCCGTCGTCTCGCCGTAACGTTTATTCCGGAATTTAAATCGCTGTCTGCGCGCTTGTCATACGTAAGGGGGTCCGGGAGAGGGAGGGGGAGAGGGCCGGGGGAGGGGAGAGACACGGGACGGGAGTACCGGGTGCATTTGTGCATGGCCCGGGTGTGCGGGAGTTCGATATCGACGCTCGGGAGATCGTTTCGCGGCGGAATTTATTCTAGCCGTAAAAACCGCGATAGCGAAAATGCGCGACCGGTAAGTGCGAAGAGTATACGTGCGGATGGTTGATACGACGC